ACTAGCTCACATGATTTATTTCTGATAATGTACACACTAATGACGTCGTCTCAAGTTTGGTACGATAACAGATGATGAGCATCTTCAACACAAGATTCCGTAAAAAGCACGTGAAATATAATAATCAGCCAGGTTGCTGTGATCAGAAGACTATATTGCAATACATATATATTCAACACATGATCCCAGCACCGCAGAACAAACATGCTTTCTCTCTTTCTTTTCTTTTCATTTCTTTTCTTTTCTTTGAGGGTCTATTTCCCCTCTGACTATGCAAACTTCTGGTTCCATACATTGGATGAGATCTTGTCCCTTAACCCCTAAGAGTTAGTTTTGGGGTTGGTTGAGGAAGGAGGAGAAGAAAGTGTAAAGAATTTTTCCGAGAAGAAAGTTTACGGAATTTTTCAAATCTTCAAAAACAAAAAAAAATCAAGGAAGACGAAATCAAATAAAAAAAAAAAGCAGAACCGAATCTCATCCAAAGTACAGAGCCACATACACTATATTTGCCATTAAGTACTTACAGGATCACACCCTTCTTCATCACATAGCCTTGGCCAAAAAAAAAAAATCTTTTAATATGAAAATGTGCAATAAAAGAAACAAAAACAAAAAACATAAATACAAAATAATTTATGTGCCCTACTTTAAATATTGCTGGAAGATTCACAATGTGTGACAGCTCAAGCCTTGACGCAAGGAATACAAAACTGACCTCCCAGTAAAGCATTAAAAAAAAAAAAAAAAAAATATGTTGTTTTTTCACACGGTTGCAAAGTCTTGCAATAAAATACTATACTGATAAGTATTTCATCCTAAAAGAATATAAACCAATGATAATAAATCATAAAAACAATGGATGGAAGGCCTACTTTTCTCACAGCCTTTCACTGAACATTACTCTTTTTTCCTATTGTTCACGTGGGAGTTGATTAAAGGAGAGATGCCGAGTCTTTAGCAAAGGGGGAGAAGTGACGGGAAAGATGGGACACTATTGCCATGATCACTATGACAAAAAAAAAGTGTTTACCAATGAAACACACACAACAACGCGACCGCTACCCTTCGCAAAAAACGTCAGAAACTTTGAGAGGAATGAGAAAAGGCTTGTAGCGTTTATGGTCGTGATTCCATTTCAAAATCAGCCGGGAGGAAAAGAAGGAAAGTTCAACCTTAAACGAGTTTCACAAAAGGATTACTGTACAAGGAAGAGGGGTACTTGAAAAAAAAAAAAAAAAAAAAAAAAAAAAAAAAAAAAAAAAAATGACAATCAAAAAAAAGAACCAATATTCAGTTATATTACAAAACTCATTTACCAACTCTTAATTCTCAGTTATTTTTGAAAACCCTCTTGCTTTACCTGAGTCGTTGGGAAGAGTTAATCTACTTCAAACATTATTAATCAGTATTCCTAACTGTTTTTTATTTTTTTTTACTTTTCAACTAATTCTGAATTCCGCCACACATATATGTTAAGTAATCATATTCCAACGTGATAAATTCGTTATCATAATGGGCTAATTGTTGAATTCTCTCAATGAATGTGGAAAAAAAGCACAGATATTACGAATTCTTTTTGCTGATGCCTAATATCTGAGCAGTTTCCCCCATTTTTTTCTGGAGAAACCACCGGCAAATGTTATCAATTTGCAAATATTCACACATTAACCTTTAGCTTACTAAGTATGTATGCATAAGCAATAAATGAAAATAATATTGACAGTAATAAATAAAAACAATACATAATTAGGAAAAGAGAGAAAGAGACAGCAACAGAAATAGATAGATATAACACAAACATATGCCTACCACAAAGCAACTGCTGTATTCCAAGACGGTATAGCATTCTTATCACAGTATATATGGTAGAAAAAATAATATATATATATCTATTTTGCTTAAGTTATTTACTCTGGGGGGAAAAATGCACCGTTCGTCTTAAGAAAAAAAAAATGCTGATATCATGAGCTAGACATTCCTTTGAATACCACAGTTATATAAATCTTTAAAAAGTCAAAAAACCTAACAAGTTTTTCTTTTTCTTCTTCTTCTCCTTGTTCTTTTTCAATGATTACTACATCAGTCTTGCTTTGCAAATCTTCTCTGCACGATCAACCAGCCTTTTAACATACTAATTAACACAAACAAGCGACAAGAGACAAAAAAAAAAAAGAACGCATGGTCACACAGTTCCAATATCTATCTTTTTCTCTTAGTTTGGCAGATGCACAGATTTTGTTGTTGTCGCTATAAATAGATATTAAGCACCAATTGATTAGCTAAAATAAGATTTACATTTATAAACAAAGCAATGAGAAAATAAGTTCATAAAATCTTTAAAGTGAGTTTTAGAGTAAATTTAATAGTAACTGAGAAGAGTAGGAGACTTAGTGCTTACATACCATCCTGTATTATAATTCACGTAACTTGAAATGTTGCAAAATACCGACGACTTCTCCCTAATCCGTTATAGTCACTCTAGCTAACTGTATAGTTCTAGCCTCTACAGCTATATATAACTTTTATTGCCTAGTTTATTCTTCAGATTACTAGTATTTCCAGATGGACATATCAAAATAGATTTAGTACGGCTTCAAAACAGAAGTGAGACGTGTATCAATTCACTGGAGAAAATATTCTAAAACTGCTTTTAAGAATAAGGCATAAAATCACTTTTAGCTTGAAGAGAAATATTCGACAAGTAATCACAAATAAAATTCAAACATAATAAAATACAAGATGAAACAAGACTAAGCAAAAAAATAAACAGACTAACTGACCAATACAAGAAACTGATGTACCTAAACATTAGCCCAACCCTTCACAGTTACCTCTCAAACCAGTCAAACGTGCAACATACAAAACTAAGAGAAAGAAGGAAAATGAACATTCCGTCACAGTGCAACGCGCCTAAACTCCCTCGGCTCTCTCTAATGCACTATCATATGACCCGAGTGCAAACTGTGTAACCTTTTTCCTCTCTGTCTCTCTCTCACTCTTTCTCTTTCTCTCTCTTTTTTGGTATTTTTTGGGGGAAATTGTATTTGGAAGGAGAAGTCGAGAAATATTCACCTACTATCACACGGAACACACCTCTTAAAAAGCAGAGAAAGGCAATTCATCTGAGAAGAAAAGCTATCCGAGGCGGTAGTCATATTTATTTACAATACCATCCTCAATACATGTAAAAAGAGATTTTCATAGCCTATAGTCTTTTTGTTTTTCTTCTACAACTATATATTAATCTCTCAATTTTGCAAAAAAAAAAAGTTGCAAATCCCTCTTTTTTTTGTTCAAATACACGAATACCATTTACTATTTAACTGAAGTTAAAATCATTTATTTGCACTTCAAAATCAAACACTTCTCAATTCAAGATCCGGAATTTAGAAAAAAGAGAGAAAAAAAAAGAGAGATTTCATAACTTTTGAAAGAGCTAGGCATCCTTCATATTTTTTATTTTTATTTTTTATTTTTTATGTCTATTTGGAACCTACCTTTAAAACCGTTGCATATAAAAAAAAAGGAGAGGTGCGTAGTATTAATATTGCGCGAAAGTGGCCCCTATGTGTAAACAAGTATAAGAAGAAGAAAAACATAAAACACAAGAAACCAATTTCAGGTCATTAATGCATCAGTTAAAAAATAAATTGACTGGGCTCTGTCCCTGTACACTACAGAATAACTTTTGACTACAGAAATAAAAAAATAAAAAAAAAATAACATTTTCACACACAGCAACAACATACAACAGTGACATAGGACTCTTAAATGAGATGTATGAAGACAGAGAATTTTGTGTACTGGCAGAAATACACTGAGAAAAACGTGAGAAATGAACACTCTTGAACACGCAATAATGCTTATTGTGGGAAGGGAGAGATTTTTTTTTTGCCCATATGGAAAATGCTTTTTCATCTGAACTCAGAATACATTTTTTTATTTTTTTTTTTATTACTCTTAAGTGCAACTAGTCATTATGTGCATGTAAAAATCATGTGGATAAAATAAACTAACACATATAAAAAAACTGGAATCTAACATTGCAAAAAGCTTCAATTTGAGTTCTTTCATTAAAATGAACCTTCACAGTTTAACAAAATTTGGGCTTCTTCTACAGGCCAAACTACTACAATTAAGTATACAAAAAAAAGGCTCAAAACCTATATCATTGACTGGCAATTTTTCTTTTTTTATTTTTTATTTTTTTTCATTTTTTGTTGTTCTCTATCACTAGCCTCTCTTTCGAGTTCTCTTTTACCTTTTCTGCCAAAACACAAAAAATTCTCGACGCTGGGGAGGCTGGTGTTTGACTGACTGACTGTACTTGCATGTGCTTTGTGGTTGTGGCTCATTCATGTTGGAAATGGTTGTTTCCTCTACTGAGGGGGGAAGCTCTATAACATGTAACCATGCTGATATTTACAGGCAATCTACACAAATGAAGAAAAATATTGTTAACAAAATATAAAATGCTCAAAAGTGGGGTAAAGGAAAATGACAATGAGAGATTTTGTAGAACTGTTGCCACCGTGACACTTTACGTAATTGCATCCAAAACTGAATAAAAATGACAAATCATTAGAATTTTAACAAGTTCTATTATCATTTTCCTTCCCACAAAAACCTCTGCAATAGCTCTGCGAGATAGACTGACGTGTATCTGGCTCTACCATGTGCCCAAGCCAATGCATACACATTTGAAGGCTGTCATAAGCTAAATGTATATCTGAGTGTATGGTATTACTTAAAGAAAAATCCAATTCATAAAACAGTATATCTATATAATTGAACAATAAATTTCAATGGAAACTATCAGCAAAAAAATATACATCACTAGTCTTAATGATTTCCATATAAACATAACCAAAACTCAAAAGATTTTTCTTTTTTTCCCAGCACTTTGAACTGTAATACTCTCAACACTTCAGAGCTTGGACACACCACAAGACACGAGACTACAGGTCAAAGGGTACAGGCTATGGGGGGGAGGGGGGTTCTACACACTACCAGCCACCAGCCAGCGTCTCGCAAAGAGTCCAAGACAGGCGTGGATTGGGCGCATTCTGCTTGTGCTTCATTCAGGACTGAAAGCCGAAAGCGTGGAAGATTTTTTTAATACCGGTGTGGCGTGCGTCTTCTTGCGATCTTTGTGAAGTGGTAGACCCCATGGGGGAAGGGAAGTTTGGGGGCTGGGGAGAAAGAGAACGAGCCTGAGCCACCAGTTTGGGACCGATCATTGCAAGAATCTGTGTCGCCTGTATACTCTGATGTATACTTAAGGGGGGGACATAATTGTTTAAAACCTTTTCTGTTATCATCTCTCCCATACTCTCTTTTTCTTTCAGGGTCTGAAGACTATCATTCCCAATCATCTGCTTTCTATCTTCCCTTTTTATTTCTAGACCCAATCTTGTAAAAACATTTTCAGAGGCAAACCCCAAGCGACACAGATGTCTTGTCACCTTTCCCAGTCTGCATACACTGAGAAGGAACCAGCGAGGCGGAGATGCCACGGAAATTGCACACGTATGAATAAATACTGGAAAAAGCGTCCGCCACCTTATTTCAGAATCAAAGGAAATAAACTCTTGGCTTCATGAAGTAAGGTCCGCGTCATTCGTCCCTAAAGGATTCTTTATGTATTATTTATTTGATTCTTATTGTAGAGGGAAAAGAAGAATGGAAACATGTCATGCAAACATACTCCCATGAATGCCCTTGCATGAAGCCTTGCAAATCATTCTGGGCTATTTTTGTTCCCATCAATACACTAACAGACAAAATCTCAGAGAAGAGAAAAGGGGCAATTCAATTTTGGATAATGCTTTATTGCAAGATTTTGCACTCCTAGCCCACTGGCTCCTTCAGCATTTGCATTTGATGACCAGAGATGCTTTTCAAAAATGGATTTTTGGACAGACGAACAAAACAATCCAATTAAACAAATATTAAAATCAACAAATCAAAAAATATAATCATCTTCCTCTCCCATCATTGCACTCTAACTTTTCAACCAATACTGCTCTATTAAACACTGATCTGTCCCAAAAACTCACTTTCCAAAAACACCAAAATGAATAATATTTACCAAGCAAAATGGAATACAAAATAATAAGCAATAATATCATCAAGGCTAATAACAGTAATATCCTACAATTACCTCATCATCATTTAAATCTATAAACATAATACCCATCAAAAGTACGATAAATGTAATCTCATCATGTAAAAAAAAAAAAAAAAAAAAAAAAAAAAATTACATCCTGGGGCATTCAAGCATTAAGACAATAACAACAATAATGAGAAAATAGCACATAAAAACCAAAAATTATCTCAAATTTAATATGAAGCAAACTAAAAATTTGATTTAAGACTACATAGTACATACAGAGGGGCATCTGCGCACACACACAATAAAGACACATAGAAGCTCTGTTCATACAACCTAGTAAGTTCGAGGGGGTTGAGGAGGGAGGAGGAGAGAGATGTAGGGAGGGGAGGGAGGGGAGAGAAAGGGGGGGGGGGGGAGAGAAGGGTGTAAGACTGGTCTGTAATATACCTAAGTTGCTTGTTAACTGTCACATTTCTGAAACGTGTCCTGAACGACTGTTTTTGCAACATCACAGGATCTACTTTTCTCCTTTCTTATCTTAATTTTTATTTTATTTATTTATTTTTTTATTTTTTCTAAATCATCCTCCTTTGGAATTTTAGCTTTTCATAATCCTTTCCTTCTTTTGTCTTTGTTTAACCAGGTAAAGTTTTGTCTCATGATAACCTTTTTTCTTAATATTTAGTTGAAAACTTTTGATATTTAATGGTTTTAATAATGACTACACAAGCCAATGAAATTCAGTAAGGTATGAGAGAGCAAAAAGTGAATCTTCATGAATATTTGTGAGTCTTCTGGTATATGATTCTCTAATTCATTCAATAAACAATATTATAAAACTTGTATATTTGTATATAAACATGTGTGTGTGTGTGTGTGTGTGTGTGTGTGTGTGTGTGTGTGTGTGTGTGTGTGTGTGTGTGTGTGTGTGTGTGTGTGTGTGTGTGTGTGTATGTGTGTGTGTGTGTGTGTGTGTGTGTGTGTGTGTGTGTGTGTGTGTGTGTGTGTGTGTGTGTGTGTGTGTGTGTGTGTGTGTGTGTGTGTGTGTATGTGTGTGTGTGTGTGTGTGTGTGTGTGTGTGTGTGTGTGTGTGTGTGTGTGTGTGTGTGTGTGTGTGTGTACATTATATATATTCACATTATGTTTATATATGTATATGTATATGTATATGTATATGTATATGTATATGTATATGTATATGTTTATGTATGTGTATGTATATGTGTATGTATATGTGTATGTATATGTGTATGTATATGTGTATGTATATGTGTATGTATATGTGTATGTATATGTGTATGTATATGTGTATGTATATGTGTATATATATGTGTATATATATGTGTATGTATATGTGTGTATATATATGTATGTATGTGTGTGTGTGTGTGTGTGTGTGTGTGTGTGTGTGTGTGTGTGTGTGTGTGTGTGTGTGTGTGTGTGTGTGTGTGTGTGTGCGTGTGCGTGTGCGTGTGCGTGTGCGTGTGCGTGTGCGTGTGCGTGTGCGTGTGTGTGTGTGTGCGTGTGCGTGTGCGTGTGCGTGTGCGTGTGTGTGTGTGTGTGTGTGTGTTTGAGTGTATATATACATATATAAACAAATGTATACATAATCAGATAAATACAAATATATACATATATACACATATACACACATACATACATGTATGTATGTATATATGGATGTTTAAATATGCATATATGTATATACGTATACATAAGTATATATAAGTATATTTATGTATATGTATGTATATGTATATATATGTATATATATGTATATATGTATATATATGTATATATATGTATATATATTTATGTATATATGTATGTGTATGTGTATATATACACATACATACATACATCCTCATACATATACATATGTATACATACATACATACATACACATGTATATCTATATATTATGTATATACCTGTATATTTATATTTCATATGTATATGTATATAATATATCTATATTATATATGTGTATATATACTTTCTCACACAGACACACACACAGACACACACACAGACACACACACAGACACACACACAGACACACACAGACACACACAGACAGACACACACAGACACACACAGACACAGACACACACAGACACAGACACACACACAGACACACACACACACACACACACACACACACACACACACACACACACACACACACACACACACACACACACACACACACACACACACACACACACACACAAATGTAGCAGAATTCAATAAATAAATAAAAAGTTAATGATAATAAAACCAACAATAGCAATAATAATTAAAAAATAATTATTGAATTTATTACAAGATGTGCCATAACATTTATGGTGAAATGTTATACTCAACATATAAAAAAATGAGTGGGAATACAAGCATAAACAAAAATAAAATAACACGATTCACAATAAAAAAAATTGTGGTTGCAATACAAAAAAAAATTGAGAAACAAGTTGAATAGTAATAATTTGCTTTTTTTTATTACTTTAAGCAATTCAAACATACATTATAGACATACACCAGAAGAGACCAAAGCATTCACAGTCACAAGAAAGAACTATTTTCATAAAAATATATATATATTTATACATACATTTCATATAAACTGTATGGAAGTATGTATGTATGCATAAAATAATAAATTATAATCACCATCATTATAACAATACTATCAATACCAATATTAATGATCCAAAAAATAAGATAATAAAATACTATTAAAAATGATCAAATCATCATCAGAATACATAAAGACAGTCATCACCTACATACTAAAAGATAAAGCTATTGAAATAATTTCTTCCTCCAAAGAAAAAAATCAAATAAAAGAGAGACACATATTGGGGAATAGTTTTCATAAAGACAAAAAGCAAAGTAAGAAACAGGATCTGTGGGCCATGCGCGTTGCTAGCGGAAACTCGTGAGAGAAAAAAAATTAAAATAGAAAAATGAAATAAAATAAACCTATTCATTTGTAGTCCTAGCATTCCTGTATATCAAAAAATAAAACAAAAACAAAGAGAAGAAAAGAAGGAAGAGACATTAATGGAAGTGACTAGTTCCTGATACTACTACTTAGGTAAAGAATAACCTACCAAGATAAGGGTTATTTGGTCTGAAATGTTTCTTAGGTAAGAGGTACCTGCATTGTCTGTTAAAAAAGAGAGAGAGAAAGAAGGAAAGAAGGAAAGGAGAGTAAGAGTGAGAGTGAGAGTGAGAGTGAGAGTGAGAGTGAGAGTGAGAGTGAGAGTGAGAGTGAGAGTGAGAGTGAGAGTGAGAGAGATTGTGAGTGTGAGTGTTTACATGTATGCACATTTGGTAAAAGAGTGTAAGTCTACGAATGACAGATAAAATAAATATTAGTAAAAGTTGGTATGAATGACAGTGAGAGTGAAAGTAATTGTAAGAAAGGGGGGCAGGAGTGAGAGTGCCTTTGTGTATATGGGTGTGTGTGTGTATGTGCATGCCTGCATGCATACATGCATTCATGTGTTAACATTAAAGAAACTCACAGTCAGGATACTCTCCTAATTTCTTGTACAGATCTTTAAATTTTGCCTTTTCAAAAGTGCACAAATTCAAAATTGGTATTTTATCATTTACCTCACATCAACATTTCAGTAAAAAACACTTAATAAATAACTGCCGACTGGGACACCTATAAATTGGGACACATAAGCAAAAATAAAGCTTCCACAGACTGAACAAATTCAGATCAATTCTGACATCTTACAAAAAAAAAACAAAAAAACTAATAAACAAAAATTAAAGTGTATATATAAAATAATAATCATCTTAGAGAATGTAAACAGACCAACAATTATTCCAAAATCAAACATTTGCTTTTTCTCAAAGTGTAAGGAAAGT